TCTACCCACAGGCCGGCATGTGTCCAGGCCCTGGCTTCTCTCAGCCTATCGTGCCCATCCCCACCCTGTCAGCAGGACTGCCTGCATCCAGCCCAGGTTCCCCGGAGCTTACACAGGCTTTCATCACTCACTTCTATTAAAATGATCTTCTGAAGTTTAAAAAACATTTATTTTCAATTCTGCAGGAGAAATGGATGACTTCATCAGTAACCAGTGGGAGACCACCTCCATTCGACATGCCTTTATCAGAAAAGTAAGGACATGCCTTGATCCTCTTTGCCTCATTCAGAGACAAACATTGTATTTCTGTTGTTCAGGGTTAACAGCTCTTTGAATCTAACCTAAGTGTTTGTGGGCAGGTTTACTTGATTTTGACAGCGCAGCTTGCTGTCACCTTTGCAGTCGTTGCTGTATTTACCTTTGTGTAAGTCTCCCTATTGATTCCAGTCAATTACCACTTCTAGCTGCTTAGTGTTGCAGATTAAAAGAAAGTCTCTGGTGACCATGTTGTCTGTTTCACAGTGATCCAGTGAAGGAGTTCGTCATTAAATTCCCAGCCCTGTACTGGGCTTCTTTGTGAGTTACCTTCAATAAACTAAACTTTAGACAGTTAAATTATTTAAAAAAGATAAAATCTAACTGATTAAAAAAATCTATTTATGTCAATTTGTGTTTAATGCCTCAAAACCAAATTCATGATTTATCTCCCTAGTGTTGTGTTCTTTCTGGTGTATTGTATTCTCATCTGCTGCAAAGAGCCAAGGTAGAGCAAAGCTTGTTTTCCAGATAAGGCTTTATTAAAAAATATATTTTTTTGTTGTTATATATATATATATATAATGATTTTGTTTCATTCTTGTGTAGGAGGCGTTTCCCATTGAATCTGGTGCTGCTGGGAATATTTGTAAGTATTTTTAAGGAATCCAAACCGTGGGTGAGGAGTTAGAGTTTGGGCCAAATATTGGCAGCCACAGAGATGGAAGCATAAAAAATGTAGTTCATTGAAAACAAGTGGGGGGAAAAAAAAACTCCCTTGTCATTTTTTATTTTTCAGACCGTTGCCTTATCTTTAATGGCTGGATCAGTTTCAAGGTTTGTTTTCAACTTTTTCTGCAGTGGACTATAACACATTTTCCTTACATGTTGCCATGTTAAAGCCACAAACCTCAATGTATTTTTTAAGATTTTTGTCAAAGCCCACATGAGACATTTTATGATTAAATAACCGGGCTGAAAATGATACATAATATTTACCAATAGCCAATACTACCGTGAATTTGGAACTTGCAGCTCTTTTGCTTAGTAACTGCTTTGTAAAGCCACATATTGCTGCACCTATAGAGATTTCTGTTGTTTTTTTTATTCCAGTTTATGCATTTTCTTTTTAAAAGACCAGAAGGTTTGCCCCCAAATTAAAAAAAAAAAAAAGTTGTTTATATTCAGCAGGAGTCTTTTCATTTATTTTGTTTGGACTGGTGCAGGAATACACTTTGTTCTAACATGTTTAACCATTGCATTGTTTTTTGATATTGGGATTATTTTTTCTTGTTGGAGGGAGAAGCAGCATCTAACATGGTTTGTTCCAGCATTACACTAAACTCAGCTGCCTCCATCATCCCATCAATTCAGATTGATTCTGTCTGCATCTTTCTAAAAAAAAGAACTATTGTGCCATTTCTCCCATGCTTCAAAGTGATCTTTGTTCAGGATGATGTGCAGCTTTGTCCCACAGATTTTTACTTGCAAGATAAAAACTGCAAGATGAAGATATTATGACTTTATGTAAACACTTAACTTTTCAATAAAGGAGTCAAACCTTAGCTACAGCTCCCCCGAAGTTATAATGCTCTCCTTATCCAAATAATCAGCTTAGATGGATGGCCATAACTTGGTAGGGGGGACAGTATTTACTAATTAAAATACTATTTTGTGTGATTGGTTCCACTGTATTTCAATTAGAGCAAAGGGGAATTTTATTTGCTGTCAGACAGGAAAGCAATGCTTCATTTTCCTTTGACATAAAATCATAAAAAGATAAGTTGAAACTTGTGGTTGATGCATGCCAAAATCTACAGAAGTTCAAAGAGTAGCATGCTTTTACAAACCTACAGTTATTCTGTCTTAAACACAATGTTTATGTTTTTCAGCTTTTATGAGACCAAAGCGGTGATTATCGCCATGGGAATAACAGCGATAGTATGCATCGCAGTAACAGTCTTCTGCTTCCAGACGAAGGTAGCTGAGGATGATTTTCTTCTGCGGTTCAGCAGCCTGTGGGCTGTCAGAGGAGGCCTTTGTTGTCAGTGTAAAAGAACTCCTTTGTCTCACATTACAACGGAGCCCTGAGCTCCTTTAAATATTCATAACATTTTGGGATTAGATGTGAATCCTGTCTGATGCAACTCCAGATATGCAAGTTGCATGTTTTGGCTAGTGCTTGCCAGAACAAGCCAAGTTTTTTTTATGTAAAATCTCTCACTTAAAAAGGATAAGGAAAAAAAGAGCACATTTTCACTGCTTCTTTGTGTGTGGTTTGAAGCTTGAGGCTTCCTTTCATCCTGTTAATGACTTGCTTCTAATCACAGGTAGACTTCACCTCCTGCAGCGGGTTTCTCTGCATCGCTTCTGTTTTGCTCATGATCATTGGGATCGTTACAGCCATCGTGCTCTCCTTCCAATATGTGAGGACTCTTTGGTCAAGTCCTTAAACATATTCTAGCTTCAACAGCAGCTCAAACTGAGTGTGATGTGTGACCAATTTTTACATTCAGAGGCCCTTCTTGTGTCACTCCACAGGTCCCCTGGCTGCACATGCTGTATGCTGCAATCGGAGCTGTCGTTTACACTCTGGTGAGTGAACGCAGTCATATTTTAAGGAGAGACCCTCAGTGTTGTGTTTAGTCTTAAGTTGATTCAGATTACATTGAGAACAGGAAAATAAACCAAACAAATTTTATTTTTCTGGAATGTTAGATACTTGGGATTTTATTTTTTAGGGCTAAATTTAATTAGTGTATTTTTAGAAAGCTTTACAGGAATAACAACATAGTGCAACCCTAAAATAGGTGCATTGTTTTACTGCATACTAATTAAAATTCAAGTATGTTTTATACAAATTATGTGGTCTGGAAAAGTTTTTGAAAGCCTGATAATAAAAAGCGTTATGGAATGCATACTTTTAAGTATTTTATTGGGATTCTGTGGGACAGAAACAACTGAAAATGTACAGAAAGGAATCAATTTTCTCATGATAACCTGAAATTGTTTTATTTGTAATGATTTTAGTGAATGATTTTGTTCTGGGTGGTATCAGAGAAAAAAAGACCGTTCTGCTGCAGCTCTGTATATTTAGGATTGTGGTCCTGTTGAAGGGTGAATCTCTGCTTCAGGGGTCATTTCCTTCTCTGCCTCCAAAAGATTTTCTTCTAGACTGGGATGTATTTAGCCTAGAACATATCTTTTTTTAAGTTTATAAAGTAACCTACAACCTCGTTCTATCTAAATAATTTTTCTAAATTGTTATGAGGAAATATTAAAATGGTCTTGGGGACAAATCATTTAGTGTCTATAGTTAGCGCACATCATAATAAATTGATTTAGTATTATACTGCAAAAACTGATCTAAAAGGTAAAAGTTTCTTAGTATATTTGCCCATAATTTGAGCGAGTAAATAAGTTGCTCTACCAAACGATGGAGGGTTTTGGCCTTTAAAGCAAAAGAAAATAGAGACTGTTTACTTTTGAAAGGTTTATTTTTGACATATCGTCTTATTCTGTATGAAAATAGTCTTGCTGCTTAGATCAAAGTTGTAGCCATCTATTTAAGAATAATTGACTTGCATTTAACATTTTTAAGTTTATGATTTCAGAACAGGGGCCAGGGTCCATTCTGCACTGGCCTCCCATTTAGAACTACCCACATATTTAGATCAATCCAGCTTCCCTGTCTCTTCAAGTTATTTTGTTCAAGTTGTGAAGCACAAATTTGCCAAATGATAAAAGTCCTGCTGAAGGAGATCTTGCTTGAACTGTGGATTTCTGCAGCTTCTTTCAGTGAACAGCCAGGCCGCGGTTTTGTAGCATATTTCTAATTATTCTGTTGAACGATTCATCTTTAAAGCTTATATTGCTTTGGAAGCTAACTGTTTTTTTTATTTTTATCTCTGCCATCTGATCCAGACTTGCCTGCTGAGCTCATTGTTTTCATGACACCAATAGTTCACTTATGTTCCCTAAAAAATGTCAGACCCACACAAAACAGCTATTTGTAATGCTGATAAATTAAACACAGAAAAAATAAGGTGACTTCTCACCGCAACCTGTGATTAATTTTATCTGGAGGCAGAGTAAAACAGGCCGACTACAACACCTAAACACATTTTTCAGATTCTTCTTTGCAAAATCACACAGCAAAGTTATTTGCCTGAATAAAAATGTCCTCATTAAAGCGGATGCATTTTTAATGTTTCATGTAAAACTTTTGTTTTCTTCATTTCTCAGTTTTTAGTGTACAACACCCAGCTTCTTATTGGGAATCGAGAGTTGGCCATCAGCCCAGAGGAGTACATCTATGGAGCGCTCTCTCTCTACGTCGATATTGTTCACATCTTCCTGTTCATCCTGCAGATCAGCGGAGCAGCAACAGAGTAAAGCAATCATCCAGCAACGTCTTAACATCAGTGAAGTCTTGATGTACAGAGTGTTTTTGGCAAAGGTCTCACAATTACCGATGTGAACAGATAAAAAAAACAAACTTTGTGTGAAAACTTTTCACAACATACATAAACTTTAGTGTAGTTTCATTCATGTCAGTGAACACTGAAAAACTTTGATGCTCTCCTTGGGGCGGGGCTGCAGATCGGAGGCTTTTAATCCCAAAAGACTGTGGGTCATGGAAGGCACTGATTTGCTTTATTTTATCATTTTTTATTTTATGTGTATATAAGCTAACTTCGAATCCAATCAAAAATTATTTTCTCAACTTTTTTTTTTTTATTTCCAACAAATTGTTTTTTTTTTTTTAAATCAGCAGTTTTTATTTTTTCATCAGTTAATTACAAAATACATGTAGTTACAGGCAAACTGTTGAAAACCAAAAGCATTCTGAATTTCTTTGCTAGTAATACAAAGGACTCTGATCTGTGTTAAAGTTGTTTAATCTCTCCATAATTAAACACTTATTGGTAAGAAGATGAATAAAAGGTGTGCAGCCTCCTCTGGGAGTGTTCTGGCCCACTTCCTGACGATACGCCTCTGTTTACTTGTTAGAAAACTATGCACACAAATCAATAAAGTACTTTCTATTACAGCTGCTTCATTCTTCTTAGTGATAAATTTCTATTGGCCTGTTAGAAAAAGTGGGTGGATACTTGTATTAATTCTCCATTCCTGAACTGTGGATTAGTTGTAGTTTCCGTCACCAAAACCTCTGGGATAGTCCAGAGGGGTTCTTTCACAAAGCGCCGTGATCAGGGTGTGAGACGCTTGGGGTCACGGGGGAACATGGAGGTCTGACGCACATTGTGGAGACCCAGATACAGCATGCAGACTCTCTCCAGACCTGTGAAGGAGGATTGGTCAGTAACTAAAAAGAGGCATATTGGAGCTTATGGTCTTATAGTGGAAAAGAGGATGAGCTCCTTACCGATGCCTCCTCCGCCATGTGGGGGAGCGCCATAACGGAATGAGTCGATGTATGACTTTATCTTTTCCAGATCTGAATCAGAACAGACAGCAGATATTTGTTAAGACACCATAAAACATTACCCCCCAAATCCTTTTAGAGTTCTTCTGTTGTAATACTCATCATTCAACTGTAGAGGGAGACAATCCCTTTCAGATCCATTAGAGTTATGAGACCTACTGCAGGACTTCTTACCAATCTGGTGATGCAGAGCCCTTTCAGTCAGCAGCTGAGCATCGTGGACTCTCTGAGCTCCAGACAGGATCTCCTCTCCTCTCATGAACATGTCATAAGAGTTGGAGTATTTCTGTTTGGAAAAAAAAAAGAATCCCATTACATCTGTTAATCAATAGAGGCCATGTTAAAATGTTTCTAAAGCTACATTAAACATATAACATTATCTTCAGATAAAACATTTTTAAATTAGCACAATTGTGTGAAAGTATTTATGACTCCTGACCCATATTACATTTTGCACCACAAAGCTTTTGCATATTTGATTAGGATTTTCTGAGATAAATTAACTTATAGTAGGTGCATAAGTGAAAAATAACGGAATTGTGGATAAAATACTTTTTTTTGTAATAGTAGAGAAAGTTGGAGTCTACACTTTGTGAAATGACCACAGCTGAACATCTGCGGCAAAGGAAAGAAACATTTTTGTTCTTTTCTAAGAACAAGAAAAAAAAAAAAGAGTTTGGAATAAAATTGGATAAAGAAGGAAGTGGATAAGCAATTTTCCAGTCTTGAAAAATGCTCAGTTGGTTTTAGGTCTAAACTTTGATTATGTCATTCCAATGATTAATTATGATTTGATCCAAATAACAGCTCAGCTCAGTTGCAGCTCTGGCTGGATGATGACTTCTGCTGTCCTACTGGGACCATCTCAAGTCTTCTGAGCTGAACTGTATTTATCTTCATCCATCTTCCCATCACCTCTAATCAGCTTACTTATCCCTGCTAAAGAAAATCCTCCCCATAGGATGGTGCATTTAGAGCAGTTTGTATTGTTACTTTTTGCCACATATAGTATTTTGCTCCCATCTGACTAGAAACATCTTCAGCCAATATTTCTGCATTATCCCGCCTTCTAGCCAGCAGTAAACTGGACTTGTGGTTGGGTTGGTTAAATTCTTGCTAACCATAAATTCTCAAAAAGCCAGCTTTGCACAAAGCATATCAAATAAGACACTTCTTTAATTTTCATTGCATAGAATAAAATTTAATTCTTTTAATTCATTATTTTTTAATCTGGTAAACTCATTAAAGACATTAAAAATTGTAGCTGCAATATGAAAATGTACAAAATTAAGGTAGCAAAATATTTACAGCAAACATTTCTGTAAATTAGTGTTATCATCGACTGCATGAGTTCAATGTTTGTTTATTCGGTTTTAAGTGAAGCCACTTTTCTTCCAGAAATGCAATATTTGAAAATCTACGGATGTAGACAAGCAAAAGTTTATTTTTGCTGTTTAGCTCATAGGGTTTTTTTTAAATGAATCTTATGCGTAGCTGAGAAACTTACAGGGTTGTTTGGGTCAGGCATGGTGTAAAAAGGTCGAACAGCCAGCGGGTACTTATCCAGCACATAAAAGTCAGTATCATACTGCAAAAAAGAGGAACATGAACATTAATGGACATATTTTTGTTACTTGACTAAAACATGGTTAATGTTTTTCACACTTTGATATGAATACAGACATCAGTTGTTCATCAAGCTGATCTGATTATTTCATGCTTATGGGCTGATTTTCAAAGATTAAACTGCACAAACCTTTTCCTTGACGAGACGGCCGAGCAGCTTTTCATTAGGAGTGCTGAAGAAAAACAAAAAACACAGACTTTAAATATACGTTTAATTTGCCCTAAGCCACAACTTCACACAGCCTCACATTCTTTCATGACCTAATCAGCTACAGTAGGAAAGTTCAGAGGAAAGCCCTCTGATCACAAACATTTAATTAATGGTAGGTCCATGTTTCATATCTGCACTGTTAAGTAGTTTTAAAACTGACTTCAGCTTTTTTTCACCCAAATTAAATCATCTGACAAAACGTGGCGTTTCTGGGCAGAGCATGTGTGATGTCACCTGACCTGAGGTCATCTTCGTCTCCCATCTCCACGCCGGCCTCACGAAGCATGGCCAAGGCCTCGGTGTACTCCAGCCTAAGAGTCGGCTCCAGGAATTTAAAGGGTTCGCTTGGGAACTGCTTGTTCACCGTCTGAATCTCCGTCTGGAAGCTGGAATAGAAACACTCATATGTTAAGAACACTTTTAAACAGACAAAACACTCACCAACCATTTGACTTTATTCTGCAAAATTTTCTTTTCTGGTTTCATAGACAAATAAACACAGATTTATGGTTTAACCACACCCATTCTTCTTCTTTTTTTTTTTTTTTTTAACAATAAATTTTTCCAGAAAACAACCAGCCTGGTATTGGCAGCAGCATGCTGAGGGGATGCTGCTCTAGATCTTGAATTTGAGCCAGGATGCGAGGGGGAAATGACTTCTTAAGCCCCATTTACTCTACCCTCTGAAAACCGATCAGTTAACAGTGCCGAGCTCGGTTTCATTTACACACCATGCTAGCACGGTTCTTCGCCTCCTAGTCACGATCTATGGGGCGACAGTGGCGTTAGATGTTGGAGTTTGCCCTGAAATCGAAGGGTTGGCGGTTTAAGCCCCGGCTCTGACTTTCATTGTCGTTGTGTCCTTGGGCAAGACACTTCACCTGCATAGTCTACTGATGGTGGTCAGAGGGCCAGGTGGCACCAGTGTACGGCAGCCCCGCTTCTGTCAGTGAGCCCCAGGGCAGCTGTGGCTACAATGTAGCTTGCAACCATCAGTGTGTGAGTGTGTGTGTGAATGGGTGAATGAATGTGGTGTAAAGCTCTTTGGTCAAGTCTCCTAACTCGAAAAAAGCGCTATATAAGTACATGCCATTTACCATATGGTAATACTGCTCTAGAGGTAAACACGCAAACCAACATGGCGGTGCCCGTGACATTCAAGAAGTTGTCAGAGTCAGGTGAAGAAGGCAGCCTTTGGTGAAATTACTTGACAGAGTCGGCTTTTTGGAAGTACGGCAAATGAATATCTGAAATTTCACGGTTATGACTGTAAGGAGATGACAAGGTCTGCTCACACGCTTTGTTATCTGAGAACCGAGCCAGAACTGAACCATGCTGAGCCCTACAGATGAGCTAGTACCACCATGTTAGCACGGTTCGGTTGTGTCTGAAGCGGTTTGGTTCAGCTGTGCATTCCATTTACAGTTATCTTGGTTACCTTGCTAGGACCGAGTGTAAAGGAGGCTTTACGTCTCTAAACCAGCATAGTTGCTAAAGAAACAGGTACAAATAAATTAAAACTGTTTTCTTTCACTTAACATATAAACTCTACTTTGAGTTAGTTTATTCCATAAAGTCTCAAAAATACTTTGATGTATGTGGCTGGAACATGACTACCTGAAAAACCCTGGGGGGTTTTAAAACTTCAAATTTCTTAAAAAAAGACAAGTTGCAGTTTCTCTGGAGTCTAAACATGTGCTTAAAATAAATGCAAGCGTCAAAGGCAAGTCATAAGAACAAAAGTCACAAACTATTTTGAGAAAGAGGAACAAAAGTCATACGGTAAACTGAACGAAAAAGGGCAACTTAAACCGCACAGCCTGACATATGACCCTGTTAAAGAGTTGAACTTTTCCTCTATTTGTGCACTAACTTTGAAATTCATGAAGTGGGACTTTATTGTATCATGTTCTTCCTTTCAAATTTCTACACCAAGGCTGACAGAAATGCTTCAGGGTTTAATATGTGTGAAAAGATCTTCTCTCTGCCAATATCATCTGCTTCGTGCTTTGCTCATTAGCACCACTAGGGGGCAGTGCAGCCATATCATAAAGATAAGACACAAGCATAACAGTGAGGATGAATTTAAGGTTCTGTATTATGTTTTCTTTTAGCTTAATGAAGGAAACAAATAGTCATTTGACTGTTTACCATATATGAGACATTTTATGTCGAACTAGAATGTTTAATCCATTTATGGAAGCAGGCAATGAGGAGATTTGTATTTGTTCGTCTTTTAACCCAGAGGTCAAGGAGTAATAAATGAGTAATTACGCCCTCCTTCAGAATCAGATCAATCTAAACAAGCTCTAATGGAAACAATGAAGTTTCAATTATAAGAGTACAGTTAAGGGGAACAATACATACAGCCCATTTTCTGCTGCTGTTTATTTTGTGAAGTTCAGTAATTCCTCCTGCAGAAAAACATCCATATAAGATGTTGCTCCTCTCTCGCTTCACAGTTGGAATGGTGTTCTCAAGCTCGCAAATTTCCCTATTTTCCTCCAAATGTAAGGATGCTCATTATAGCCAAGCAGTCTCTTTTACATCACACCACAGGACATGTCTCCTAAATCTAACATCTCTCTCCTGTGGGCATTAGGAAAATGTAATTTGGCTTTTTAATTGCTTTTGGAGTAATTGCATCTTCATCATAGAGTGGCCTTTTTCCCTGCAGCAGGACTTGCCTTTATTCACTGTGTGTAATGATACTCTTATAAACTTAACATCTTTTAAAAAAGCCTTTTGCTTTTCTTCAGGGGAGCAAAGCAATTTGATCTTCGGACATTTTCATTGTGTTTATATTTTCACTTGATTATTCTAACAGATATGAGGAAATTTAACACAAGAACCAAACCTGTGGAAGTCCCCATATTTCAAATATAATGAAATCCACTTTTAATTGTTTCGATGTGATACAAAGAAACAATGTGTTAAAAATGTCCTAAAATAAATCAGAGATATGTCTCCATTCACTCAAATGAGAAAATGATCAGACGTTGAAAAAGCTGTGGCACCATCTTCTGGGCTTCAGTTAGTTTTAAAAGCTCATAGGTAATGTTTTATCTACTCTGTATGTAAGAATTTGTGGCAGGTTAAAAAAAATCTTCTCATTCATTTGGTGATTTGGGAAATAATTTTGGTAATCTTGAAACAATGTAAAACAGGAATAGTTTTCCCCAATTTCACTGCGTTCAGCTCCACTGCACAAAACCACAAACTCCCAGACCATTTAAATCGGCAAAGACTGGCAGTTTTTGAATGGCACACCGACAAAATTCAATTCAGTTTCTTTTTTGCTGGATGCACATCCCTCCAACAGGAGATGGAACAATGACAGCATCCGAATATTCAAAACAGTTAACTAAAGATGCCTAGATTTGCTTAAAAACGTTGTTCTAATAAGATAATTCTGAGTATATTATGTTTACATTAGCAACTCTGTTGATCTAATGTGCGCATTTGGCTGTATTTATTGCTGTAGGCAATCAAAACATAACGACTGAACATTAAATGCACCAAATACGCAGCTTCTCTGCACTCATTATAATCACCTGCTGTTCAATGGAATTCCTGGAAATATCCGGATGCACAGAAATGAAAAGAGAAACACTGTAAACCTTAAATAATGCCTCAGTGGATTTGTTCTGCTTTTTAATTCCGCCATCTCTCCATGCTCTTTGGATGCACTTTGTGCAGCACTGTAGAGGCAGTGAAAATTGGGATAAAACAAAGTACCGTATGCAAATATCTGTTGATGTTTATTTAGCTGTATAATAAAAGCAAAAGAAAAAAAACCTTTTTGGGCTTTCCTGGTTTAGAAAGTAATAATAGGAGACTGAATCTGCAAAAACAGATTCTGAAATATATCAAACAGAAATAAAATTTATGAACCACGTTTTCCGTTGCATTTGGATTTCTCAGCCTTTTATTAGCTTTAGATGTTTATCATCAGACAAATTTTAAGTGGCGTTTTATGTGATTTGGACCCAGTTTACATTCTGAATAAATTATTTATCAATTTAATACCTTCAACACTAACCAGACAGAAACTTTGTTTGTTCATTAATTCTTTCTTGAATCTTACTTGTCTCTCAGGCCCTTGAATATCTGCACCATGGTGTCGGTGATGGAGTCGATCACTTCATGGTAATGGTAGTTGAAGGCCATCTCTATATCCAGACCCACAAACTCAGTCAGATGACGGTGAGTGTTGGAGTCCTCAGCCCTGAAAACTGGACAATGAAGGTTTAACATCAGGGTCAACAGAAATAGAAAAGGAGGAATAAAAATGTTCAACATCGTATTTTTGTCCAGGTGGAAAATCTACAGTATAAAAACAGGAGTCAATGTTAAGAAAATATAGCGATAAATGGTAGGAAAATGTTTCTTTGCATTAATCTGAATTTTTTTTTTTATTCCACTTTTATTTGAAAAATGAGCAAAAGCTTGTCGATAAAGTATAGAGAAAGTTAGTGTTGTCCTTTTTTTAACCACCATAAAATCTAAAGTTTGTTTTGCAGTTCTGCTAAGTTAACATTTTTTTTTTTTTTTTATTCGCTTCTTGCAACACTTCCAGCTCAGAGTCTCCTCCAGCTTTGCACATCAACAGACTGATATTCTCTGAAATTTCCAAACCCAAATACCGCAGACTCCAGTGGGTCATGAAGAGAGCATCTTAGCCACAGATTCAAAACCTAAACTCTAATCTTCTTTCTCTTTCTTTTCACAGACCTATCTAAACCTGTGAACATGCTTTATCTTGCTTCAGCTTTCTTCTGTGAAGATAAGCAGTTTTTTCAGATGAGCTGAGGATTTTTGCAGCTCCTCCAGTGTAACCACTGGCCTCGGTGATAAACCCTCTATATCGATGATAAACTTAGACTCTGACATTTTCAAAGCTCATGATCGTGAAATCAGTCTAACTTAGCTGAATTGTCGGCTGAGCTCCTCTCTTCTAATAATCCAGTTCTCACTTATTTTCACAGAAATATTTGTGGTGCTTTTCAAGAAGCATCATGTTGTCAGAGTTACTATTTAGGCTACTTCTTCACAGACTGGTTTAAGGGTCTCTTAGTAGGCAGAGCTGACATTTGTGCCACAATACGTTTTATACTTTGCAGTCATGTGACGCTATGCTAATTACCACTTTATATCTCTATAGAAAATACAGAAAAATTTGGTTGTCAGATGTTCAATTTAAAGCTGTGTGTCATGACAGAGGATATAAATCATATGTTTTTCCTCCCCTGAAATAAAAACCAAACACACTACGTCTGACACCTTTTATGAAACACACCATAGATTTGAGCTAAATTTGAACAAAGCTAAGCTTCTGTCAATTTAAATTTCTTTTAACATTGCTGATCTCAGCTCTTTTTACTAAATCAGTGCTGAATTGGACCACTGTAACCATGGCAACAGCGAGCACAACGATGTCTGAAAAGCAGTAATGACCTAAAGCCCTTTGATTCCTCAGGTGTAGCCACAGAGAAACGGATAAAACACCACAGTCCGCTGTGGAAAACACAAAAGGTTGCTTTCTTCTTTAATAAATGTATTTTATCTGGACTCAGAAAAAAAAACACACCAACTATAAATCAAACAGTGCTTTAGATAAGAACGTCTTTATATAAAATCCACTCCATGTTGAATGAAAAGATGAAAGCGTTTGCTAAGCTAATCAGATGGTGGCAGTGTTTGCTCAGCTACAGAGCTGGAGCTTCTCTGTATATAAAGGCTTTTACAAGTCCCTTTGTGTCACTAACAGACTAACTACAAGCTCTGACCACATTAACAGGACCAGTGGGATGTCTGTTAAACTTTAACAACCTTAAACACATTTGGAGCCATTTTTAACATGTCATCTCAGTTAATAGGGTCTACATTTTTCATTACACTCCTGCTGCTCATTTCCCTATTATGCCTGTGAGGACTTTGCAAGCTCATAAGGTGTCAGGCAGGAGGCCTCGTTTTACCTGGGCCGACGCAGAAGACCTTGTCAAAGTCAGCGCAGATGCACATCTGCTTGTAGAGCTGAGGGGACTGGGCCAGGTAGGCGCTGGATTTGAAGTAGGAAACGGTGAAGACGTTTGCTCCGCCTTCACTGGCAGCTGGGAAAAGGCAAAGATCATTGTAAGGGAGTGACGGGGGTTCAAACAGTCAGCTCTAAAAGCAATAAAACATGTAAAGGCTGACAGTTTCCATAATACTCATGATGAAAAACTTTCCTCCATCTTTACCCTGATGCATGGTAACCGACACTAGAGTCTCTGCTTAGTAGGACTTTACCTGACTTTCTATTGAGGAGGTAACTCAGTGATTGAATTCAGGTGTATAGAAGACAAAGAGTTGCACCAAAAAAGTTCTGGGCACTGAATCTTGTGGACTTTATTCAAAAGAACCTCATCTAGAACTTTTAACATATTCAACATAAAGGGGCAAATTGCAGCATAGTCCAAAACTCCTGTGAGCAGCGCACCTGTTTCCATTTGCTGTTGGAATAATTGCAAGCCTTCAATCAGCTCCGAGTGGAAAGGTCTCAAAGCAGTAAATTGAACTAATCATCTGGACCAGGAAATCTCTGTTCTTTGTGGTGTGAAGAAAGGCGGATTCAGAACATGATGTGCATGAATAGAAATGTCTTCAGGTTTTTACAGTGGAGAGAATGGATAATGTCTTATTAAAGCCAACACACGTTACAAGGTAGCATCAGTAAAAAGAGCACTGATATGTTTATTTTAAAAACTGAACTAATGAGACATCATAATACAGCACATCTAGCAACTAATAAGCTTTGTTTAAGCATTAAAATCATTTGAATATCTTTCATAACATAAACTATTAGATTTCCCATCAATCTAGTCTGTTAAAAACTGATTTTGAAAATAACCAAAGATGAAAATTCTCTATTTAGGGAGCCTTTCCAATGCATGCTTCTGTTTTAAGATATTTTCTCAGTAATATAACGTGGTTTTATATAGTTTAAATAAAACAAAAAAAAAATCAATTGAAAAAAAAATCCCACTTCACTATAACTGGGTATTGAAGGATTCTAGGATTTCATATATTAAAAATTTGTAGTGTATTTTATTACTTTTCAAAAGAAACAAGCCAAATGGAAATAAACAGAACATGAAGCAACTTATGGGAAAATTTAACCGCCTCAAGCGGACCAAGCATCAAAATGTCTATCAGTGTCTCTCTGAAAGGTGAACTCAAGGTTCTTACAAATAATTTAAAGTTTAAACATCTGACTTGAGTTTGGGAGAAAGTTTGGTAAAGGAAAAATAGAAGCTTAAACTCAGAGAGAGCAACGTTCACTCGATCAGCTTTAGCTACCTTCAGCTGCTCTACAGAGGGCATTTCTTTAGGGTCAGAGATCTGTGTGAGGCTGTCATGACGATCATATCAGCTAAAGGTCCCCATCATTTTGTAATATTGTTTTGTGAGGAAAAACAGAATTTTTTTTTTAACCAAGTGGATTAGGGTTGATCAATTTAAATTGACCCTCATCATGGCTCTGGTTAGCTCAGAAGCATATTCTTGGATTCTTTAAATCCTTGCTGTTTATGTTTTTCATGATACTGAGTTTCATACTTGGCTTAAAGCTACAGTGTGTAATTTTTAGCGACATCTAACGTCCAGACTGCAGACCGCAGCAACATGAACATCTCCCCCCAACCGCTTCTCCCCCCAAACAGTACGGCGAGCGTTACGGGACAAAATGTCTTCCACGACGTCCGCATCACCTACCTTCTCAAGTGATGAGGTTTGTTTACATAGATCATTTTAATACTGCTATCTATTGTTCAGTACC